GGTTAGAAAGCAAGTTTGCGGAGGCAAAAGCTGATCATTCCGAGTCAGATCTTCAGCCTTCCCAGGAATTAGATGAACCCCATGCCTACAAAGGAATGGGCAGCTTCCCCAGTCCTGAAGAACTAGCTAATCTTGATGAAAGTTTTCTTGCAAAACGCTGCAATCTTGGCTATAGAGCAAATCGAATATTAAAACTTGCACAGGGAATTGTCCAAGGCAGTATTCAACTAATGCAACTGGAAGAAGGTTGCAAGGAAATAAGCTTGTCTAGTTATAACAAGCTAACTGAACAGCTGCGACAAATTGATGGATTTGGTCCTTTCACATGTGCTAATGTGCTCATGTGCATGGGATTTTACCATGTGATTCCAGCTGATTCTGAAACTATCAGGCATTTAAAGCAGGTAACTTATTCATTTATTCCATAAGCAATGTATCTTGAAGGTTTTTCTGCTTTTTCTGATAGTTTTTTGCAAGTGCAGGTTCATTCAAAACGTTCTACTATGAAGACTGTTGGAAGGGATGTTGAGGTTATCTATGCAAAATATGCTCCATTTCAGTTCTTGGCATATTGGTAGGTGATCTTACAACTTTCCTCTTGCACACTTTTTGACAAGTTTCTTAGTAATTGAATTTTCTCCTTTGACAATATGTGATCAGGGCAGAGCTGTGGCACTTCTATGAGCAAAGGTTTGGGAAACTAAGTGAAATGCCTTTCTGTGGTTATAAACTTATAACTGCTAGTAATATGAAGATGAAAGCAACTAGTAAAAGGACTAAGGTTTCTGACAGAGAGTAACCCTGCATCAGTTTGATTAACAACGAGGACAATAATTTTATGCTCATTCTTCGTTCTTCACTTGCTGATATATTTATAGGTATGCTAACACCCATTTTCTCCTATATAAGCATGTATTGTACATGTTCATGTTTCGAATGTCATTCTGAATCCTAGCACCCTACCAAACTATGCCTTGTTGTGCAACTGTTTTTAATGTTTCACATTGGGGAATGATGCCCTTCTCAGTCGTTTTGGTTACTACAATGTATAATCTTCTTGAAATAATTCTTCTATATCTCTTCTCATGCTCATTCCTTGATCTGCAAAAATGATTTTCTCCTGCTCGATACTGAAATCGAAGATATGAAGCCAATGACTAAATCAATCGAGATTAAGCCATAAGGAGGACATTTCTGCTCCAATCTCTCCCCATGATCTTAGGAATGGTGATAGACAATATCACAGTATTTCCTCCTCAATAGGTAAATGGATTGACAGAGATATATTCTGCACAGCCAATTCTTTGCAGCCTTTGGCCAAAAAAGCATAAAAAAAAATGGGTGTTTGCAGCCTTCTTTTCTCTAATGGTAGGGTATATTAGGATGCATTTCTTATTTTCTTTTGTTTATTAAAACCATCCATACTAATATGTAAAGTCATTTACTGAATTAGACTTGGCGAATACCAATTTGGTTTTAACATTACATAAAAATTAAATAAAAGACTAAGAAATCATATACATAGGAGTGCAAACTAGGATTTATGTCCTGAATTCAAATTGTTTTTCTCATTTTAACCGTTTTTTTTTTTTTTTTGTGGATTTCAAATGCTCAGAGCATTAGCTTTGGGTTTTAATTGCTTGTCGCATAGTAGTTTATTAGGCCCACTTTGTTGGGCTAAGCGTATACGAAAAATATAAACTCCCTATATTTCGCAAGATGGGCTTGGATAATGAATTTAAGGCCCATTTCTGCCCAAGAAATTATTTTCATAAATTACTTAGTTGATGTTTTTACTATTTGTTTTTTATTTTTATTGTATTTTATTTAAGAAAAAATAAAAAATAAATACTAAAAGTATTTAGATGAAGTTTTTATTGTATTAGTACAGGTTTCAATATATAAAAATAAAAATCTATAATTTTTGAATTTTATAAGAAAATTTAAATAAGTTCTTCTTTTTTTATTATTAATATTTTTTTAAATCAAATAAATTTTTATAATTAATAATTAATTAATAATAATTAATTAAAATATTTTTTATCTATCTCATGACTCACATTGTACTGTGTTATCATGTCACATTAGCATCTTATATTTTTATTCATCATGGCATATTAGCATTATCACGTGGCATGTAATAATATGTGATATTTAGATAAATATAAATTAGGTCACCGTTAATCATTATAACTTAATTGATTTAGAATAAAAATATAAATACTTAATTGGATGTAATAAATATTTTTATATATTTTTTTATATTTTAACATTTAATAAGTAACATTCTTGAGAATGAACGATAAAATGGCCCAGTGTCTATTATTGTATGCGTAACGTGTGGCCATGACACGGCAGCCTGCCCGAATCCGACCCAATTTAGTTCTAGTGTAGTCAGGCGGCCAGATGAGTGGATCCCAAGTCCCAAGCTAGGGGGCAAAACTCTCGTGAAACACATTAATGCAAAAATTCCCTTCACAAATTAAATTCGTCTCCCCTCATATCTCGTGAACCCATTATTATCTTTGCTTCATTCTATTCACCAACCTCTTCTTAGCAACCTGACCCCTCTCATTTAACGCCTCTTTTGCCCCTCATCCCTATATCAAAGTCCCAAGCCCACCATTTCACTCACTCCCCCAAAAAATGGCTCCACATTTCCCCTCCATACGTATCCTTTTCCTCATCTTCGTATCTTCTTTCCAACTCGCCAGGCCTTTCACAGTCATCATGTCGGATTCAGGCGTGCCATCCACCCTCATCGACGGGCCTCAGACGGGGTTTTCAATGAACAAGGATGGGGCTCGGACCAACCCCCGTGAGCAGGAGGCGGTCTATGATATAATGCGAGCCACGGGGAATGATTGGGCCACGAGCATCCCAGATGTGTGCCGGGGGCGTTGGCATGGTATCGAGTGCATGCCCGACAAAGATAACGTCTACCACGTTGTCTCCCTGTCTTTCGGGGCGTTGTCGGATGACACGGCTTTCCCTACTTGTGACCAGAAGAAGTCATACATTTCAGAGTCCATTACCAAGCTTCCTCATATCAGGACACTGTTTTTATACCGTTGTTTCAGTTACAATCCTCAGCCGATTCCAACGTTTTTGGGCAAGCTGGGTTCCACGTTGCAAACTCTAGTCCTTAGGGAAAATGGGCATGTTGGTCCCATTCCTAGTGAACTAGGAAACCTTACTCGTTTAAGGGTTCTTGATCTTCACAAGAACAATCTCAATGGTTCGATTCCAGTTTCATTAGGCCGGATCACTGGCCTAAGGTCGTTGGATTTGAGTGGGAACAAGTTCACCGCTTCAATTCCTGGTTTTAGCTTCCCAGTTTTGAATGTTTTGGACCTTAGCCAAAATCTTCTAATGGGTCCAATCCCACCAAGCCTTGGGTCATGCCAGTCTTTAGTTAAAATGGATTTTAGCCATAATCGTCTAACTGGCTCAATACCCGATGCAGTTGGTGGGCTAAAGGACCTCATGCTTATGGATATGAGCTACAATCGCTTGTCTGGCCCATTTCCTATATCACTAAGAAGCTTAACTTCCCTCCAAGCTTTGATTCTCAAAGGCAATCAAATGGGATCAACAGCCATTCCCAGTGATTGCTTTGATGGAATGAAGGGTTTAATGATCCTAGTTTTATCAAACATGAATTTACATGGTCCGATCCCTGAGTCAATAGGCCAGTTACCGAACCTTCGGGTCGTTTACCTTGATGGAAACCGCTTCAATGGTTCAATTCCAAGCAACTTTAGAGACTTGAAGCATGTTAGTGAACTAAGGCTGAATGATAATTACTTGACTGGACCAGTTCCATTTGGAAGACAAATGGTTTGGAAGATGAGAAGAAAGCTTAAGCTTAACAACAATTCAGGATTATGTTATAATGCAAATAGTGGTCTTGAAGATGCCTTGGATACATCCTTTGATACAGGCATTGGTTTATGTGATTCACCTAAGCCTGGTTCAGCAAGGACAGTGCAGCACTTATCCACCATGAATGAAGAAGATATGACAAGAACAACAAATGTATCATCTGAAGCAGTTCATAAGACTTCAGTTTCTGTTAGATTCTTTCAGTTAACAGCATTACTTTTGTTCATTTTGCTGTTTCTGTAAGGGAAAAGAAGGCTTGTAAATCACAGTTCTTTGTACATCCTAGTTGGCCTCATAAATGAATCAATGGTTGTTTTGTTGAGGGAAATAGTCCTACCCTCTCTCCCTACTGCAGATAAAGCTTGTAGAGCATTTAATTAATAAACCTCAACAGCCAGAAATCTGCCTATCTTCTTGATTGAAGTAGTCATCATTATATTTGCACATATCTTAATTCAATTAGCACTAGACTGCCTATCTTCTAGTTGTTTTCTTCTATATGAGGCTGTGAGCTGAGTTATGCTAAGAAAATCTTAAGTGATTAAGCCTTTTACCTGTTGCATATATGACTTCAGATTCTACAAGAATAAGACAAAACTGAAAGCCAAGATAGAAGTAAAGGTTCTGACACTATAATTTTTGGTCTTTTCTTGTTCTTTACATTATAATCTATTGGTCATGCATTGGCCTTTTGAGGGCACTCCCTGCATCTCCCCAACTGAAAGTGCAGTACAGTTCAACTGCAGTTATCCCAACAAAACTCTTTTATGAGCAGTCTAATCTCCAATAAGTTGCAAAGGAGTCCAGCTTGTAAGAACTACCAGTTATTTTATATGATAAATATCAATTGCTGAAGCTAAGGTCTTAATTTACTGTTAATTAACAGAGCTAACAAAGGACCCTTTCTTTTGGCTATACCTGCCAATAGATGGTCCACAGGTAGCTGGACCAAATAAGTTAATTTATGAGCAAAACTTTGGTAGCATATAATATCAGCATTCAATGACAAAATTAGCATACAATCAGTGCAGACGACATGCAAATTGGGGTAATTGAAAGAATGAAGAAAAGACTTCAAAGAAACAAGCAAATGATTCTGATTTCTGACACCATTGCTTCTCTCTTGAACTACAAAACAACTTCTTCACATTTTTGCATTTATCATGTTTCAGGAGTTAGTTATCATGCTTGTAGATTTCATATCCCATTTCCTTTTACTCCTTGTCTATCTGTTTGGACTGACAAACACAGATAATCTAAGGGCAGAAGCCTCTTCAGGTTTGTCTTGTAGAACTCCATAAAGCTATAAGCTATTGCTTTCCTCTTCTTATGTCAATCATTGGTAGGCCTACCAACTAAAGCATATTGGCTTGTAGTGCAAAAGGAGAATATCTGGTCATAGCCTTCAAGCATATTGAACCCAAGATATCAAACAAACTATCACGAAGGAATTGTTTGAACACTAGTGGTTGTTTTTGGTGATTTTGAAAATATTTATCCTCCCTTAAGTACATAAGAAATCTTGTTTAACTTGACATTTCAAATACCAAAACTAATATAATTTTATAAAATTATCAATTTTAGTGATTTTTGCAACATGTTATGATCACGTAACTTCTAGATTAGAACCACTAGTCTCTGTCTCGAATTTTTTAATTAATTTAGAAAAAAAATTGAATTAAATAATTGCAAACAGAACAATTATTCTCAAGTTGTGTATAGCTACAACTTCTGCTGCAATTTTTCAATGGCGTGTTGAAATTTGCATATCTTCATTCATAGTTAGTTGCTGTCACGTGCATAGAGACAGCCAGACCATGAAGAGGGCCGAACCCTGATCATCAGTCCTTCCTAATTCAACTGTGAATATTTTAAAAGATTTTTATCATCTCGTGTTCCATCATTTGTTGAACTTAGGGGAAAACCCAAGAAATTCCTACCATGGTGGGTGTTTTATATTGTGTTAAATTGTCAAATGGATACAGAAATTTTACAGTAAGTTACTGCTGCCACTTTGTTTGGTAGAGTAGAAGTTTTGTTGGTGTGACACCACACAGAAACTAGATGAACATGGGCCTCCACACCAGGTTAAAAAACTGAAGCTTCGTTGAACAGAAAAAGGCTGCGGATTATACAATTCAGATGTTGCTGTCTGTCACTGATGGAGGGGCAATTTACCTGCTTGATATGCGACTGTGACCTGCCCATTGTGAAAG